ATATATTAATATAATAAAATGTATGATACAAATTACCATCTCGGACAGAAAAAGTCTCCACGAGGCATATTCAGCCTTTATGGTAAACAGTACTATACATTTTATTTTATTAATATTATTTATAACTATTAAATCGATAGGAAGCGGTTAAAAAGACGAAGCGGTTTTTTATCCTCCCTTTATTGGTAAAATGCAATAACATTTATTCCAAAACAAATAAATATGTTTTTATACATAAAACAATAAAAAACAATTGGTTTTAAGTTGAAATAAAATATGAATTGCATTGTGAAACATTAACACAGCAGTGAAAATTATAAAAAACACATAAAATTAATAATACAATAGTCATTTTGAAATAATTAAAAACTTTTCAAATACCAACTATGTAGACTATTAATTTCATTTCTTTTATTGATTATATGAATTACTGAGTTTTCCAACGTCTTTTTTCTGTCTATTATGTATATTTACTTTCCCCTGAAATTAACAAAAAAGTCATTAATTTTTTTGTATTGTCTTTATCAAGATAATTGATTTCAAACAAACTCAAAAAATCTGTTACAGCTAAAATTTAAAGTGTCAAATTTTCCTTTTGACAATAATTTTACTCCAGTACATAAAATTTACTATTATATTTCGTGTCATTATCAGAATTTATGTCATGTCTATGACCTGTTACCACTTGTTTGTTGATGAATCAGGTACAATGATGCATATAATAAAACAAATTTTATTATTTATTGAAATAAATATTTGGGATATTTTAACAAAACAAATAATTATATTTTGATAGTCCAAACAACAAAAAATGTCAAAATTCTTTGTTTATATTAATAGAACAAACCTCTGTGATTATTTATATAATGAAAAATACACATTAGAAGTATTAATACAAAACTTTTTTATAAAATTTGTTTTATTGTGTTCAAAACAATTAAATAGTTTAGTGATTAAAGTGACGACACTAAAAACCGCAATTTGATGATAAAAACACGATCATAACCAATTGATTTGGTTTTAAAATTAAAATATATCTTTATTATAAAATGGTTACTTCGATTTGTGATTCAAATTGTTTCGAAATGATTGTATCTTATTGTTAAAGATACTATTTCAAAACACTGCATATTGGTTATTACTAATAATAACAAAATCAAGACTATTTGACATACAAATTTAATTTATATTCGTGTTCAAAACACATAAAACTTTTAAATGATGGAAATCAAGTCAACATTCAATAAAAACCAAATCAAACACGTTAATTCGTCTAAAGTGAATGCTACATGACGAGATAATATAAATTTTATATTTCAAATGATACGGATATTGAAACAATTATTAAAAAAGCACATACCTAAATATTTTTTAAATTATATTTTATAATATTAATAAACTATATAATAGAATATGTTATATTATATTTATAGAATTATGTTTGAAAAAACTAAAATTTCGGGCATATAACGTGATCAAATGAGAGCACCAAAAAACAAACAGAAAGTGATAAAGTCGAGGTTTTATCACAATGATTGAGACTTGTACTATATTTTTCAGATAATTGAAAAATACCATAACTTAAGCACTTTTTAATTTATTAACATAAAAATTATTAAATATTGATATAAAGACATTTTATAACAGTGAACCTTTTCAAAGTGATACAGTTTAATCACAAAGAGTTAAATTTATTTTACTATTATACAAATTAATATGGACAGTGTCAATAAACTTTTACGACAAATTGACACAATCATAACGTTCTTGACAAAAGTAATAATAATCAAATCACTGAGATAATATTCCCTTGTTATTTTATTCGTATATTTGGCATATATTTTATTATTTGTTGTATTTAAATATTAATAAACAACATTCTTTTTATTCTCGATAATAATAAATACTTTTTATACAATTTTCTATAATTTAGTTGGTTAATAATCGTTTATTTTGCATTGGAAACATTGTTTTATATATCCATTATCAATGTTAATTGCGTCTTTGATCAACTTTCATTTGTTTTTAAGTAATGTGTGATGGCTTTGTTTTGTTGTTGTGATATATTACGATTTTAAATATTATTTTTTTGTATTGATTCAGAAGCATGTTATTCTTTCTTAATATCAACAAATATTTTTTATTTAATTCAATCAATGAAATCTAATATAACGTTGTTTTTACTTGTCACTATTGTTATTTGTTAATTTTGTTAAACATTATTTATCAAGTTCAACTTATCCAATATGCGACTTTTATTATTTATTTCTGTTTTTATAAACAATTTTCTATATTCTTTCTGTCGTAATTTTTGTTCTGTTTTGCTTATTTGATTTTTTATATCAGATAAATTTCCACAAAACGAATTTTTGGTAAAAAAAATAAATTAATTTTTTAATGATAATTTTATAATTTTATATCATTTATTTTTATCTATTTTTTCAGGAAAATCACCTAATAATATATCAAAATTATTTAAACAGTTTTGGGACAAATTTTTAAAAAACTGTTAAAAAGAGCAGTATTGGGTTGTTGGCGAGTTAACGAGTAAAACATAAAATTCCATATTCTACTTTTTATGTTTGGAATGTTTTGCTGATTTTCTTGCTTTTTAGCCTAAAATATTTAATAGATAAATTATTATATAATTTATAATATAATTCAAGGTTTTGTTTTCAAACCCTTGAACAAATATAAAAACTATCCTTCTGGAGGCTGAGGCACACGAGGAGTAAAAAATGCATTATGTTAACAATACGGGAGTGATGAAGGTAGAGAAGTAATTTCTATTGAAACAGATTTGAGAACAGATCTTGGTGGAAGTATCAAATACTTAGAAGAGAAAAAAAAATCTAAGGACTGAAAAGGAGAAAAGTTCTCAGACAACATTAATTGGAATAGGGTGAATCGCTCCTAAAAGACGGATGTAGATTTAGTAGAAGAAACTGAGCTTAAAAAGCGTTTACGAATGAAAGGGAAAAAGACTAAAAGTTCTTTATCAATTTCAAAAAGTCATGAAAAAAAGAACCGAGAAAGTGGTAACAGGGGATGAACTTTTATATGGGGTATGACAATAGCGACAAGAAATCTCTTTTCTTGTTAACACAAAGGAATGGGTATTTGAAATGAGTCAATTAAAGGTATGACTGTTATACCCAAAGAAAAAAACGGGGCAATTGTTTTGTTAGTGTACTGTGAAACGCAAAAAATCAAAATAAATCATATCCACAAAAGAAAGAACTTGAATTATCAAAAGGTAAGAGCATCATATTGATTCAATTTTTATTTTCTTTGTTTTAAGTCTGTTCAGGAATTTTATAATTAAATTTTAAAAATCATTTTGTTTATTAGAAAAAATATAATTCAAAAATGTATCTTTTGATAAATTTTCAAAACAGTTTTGTTTTTACAAAAAATAAAGTTTAAATATATAAACAAATAAATGCAATTATTTTAAAAAAAACACTGAAACCACAGTTCGTTTTTATAAAATTCTTTAATTTTTATAAAATTATTGATATATATGTTATATATGTTCTTATAATTGAAAATGTAATATAATCTATAAAATCACATTTTTCTGTTAATTTTTAAAATATAAAATTATGATAAGAATTTTCTTGTTATAAAAGTATTGTTTGTTATTTTTTTGCTAGACACATTAATATATTTTTTTCAGTTGTTATAACTACTTATTATTTTAATATTAATGAATATGAAGATATGTTTTAATATATAACCAAAAATATTTATATATATTACATTCAAATTAAATCTGTTATCTATGAACATATATGATGAGTTTAGTTTATTGATAATAATAACATATAAGATGTCGATTTTTCCTGATTTCATACAAATCCTATAAACACATTTAATTAATAGTTTTGTTATTTTGATTAT